TATATATATATATATATATATATATATATACATATATGTCTTTTGTATTCTAAATTTAAATCAAACTTACGAGACTTACAAAAAAAAAAAAAAATAAAATAAAAAGCAATAAATTTGTGCTGACCAAAATTCGTACGTACATAAAATACAGTAAATAAATATGTATAAGTTAAGCATCAATATGTATAAATATATATATATATATATATATATATATATATATATACGGTATGTAAATAAAAAAATTAATCAATTGACACATGGAAATCAAATCGAAGGAAAATTTCCTAATAAGTAAATGATATATATATATGTATATATACATGTGACGGTTAAATGGATTATTTGAACTGTTGAACTCGGCTTTTTCCGCTTTCATAATCCCCATTCTCGCATAATTTCTGAAGAACGACCTTTTGTATGTCGTGAATATTGAACGTTTTCAAGTGGATGATGTATTATAATTGAATTCGTACGAATTTATCCAATTCTACCTTCCTTCTTCTTCTTCTTCTTCTTCTACTTTCGATCGATTTACTTGTCAAACCAAAATGCCATTTTCTATATATATATATTATATATAAATTTGTTCATAAAACAAAGTAGTGTATTTTGCAAAGTTACACTCGACCAATTAACATTTCTCTCTCTCTCTCTCTCTCTCTCTCTCTCTCTCATTTTTTTTATATTTATAATATAAATTATAAATTTTTGTTATAATATAAATTATAAATATTTGTTGTAACCTAAATTATAAATTTATTTAATATCAAAACTTAAAATTTTTCTTTATATAACCTAACTTTAATAATAATAATATAACCTAACTTTTATTTAAAATTATCAATTAAATTATATATTTAATAATTACATTATTATTTATTTATTTTTATTATATTATATTTTTTATGTGTTATATAACCTAACTTTTTTTTTTTTTTATAATCTAACCTTAAATTTGATTTTTTTTTGAACGCCTTAATAATTATATGATAATTAATTAAATTAATTGTATTTATAATAGAAACACATAAGTATTTGCAATTAATTTATTTTAGAGTCACAATTAAATCTCAGTTTTTCCCTTCAATCACTATTATCATAATAATTATATATTATTAATATAAGTGTATTGAAATAATTGCATTGTCGAACGTTGCATTATTTAAATTTCTTTTTTTGTTTTTGTTTTAATTACAGAAAATTATATTGTAGCGATGACAGATCCACAATTAACCAATAACAACAATAATAACAACAATAACAATAACAACAACAACGATGGCGAGCCAAAATATTTGCACAAAAAGTTTAAAAAGATGGCGACGACGGAGGTTACGACGCCTAGGGTCGAGTCCAAAAGGAAAGATATCTCAAGTAACATGGTGGCGGCCGATGATGATGATAACAAAATTGGTAATAATGATCAAACGAAGAAAAAGGAAACGGTCAAGGATAGTAGCAGAGATTCACCAAAGGAATCTTATAAAGAATCCCACAAGGAATCTTTCAAGGCCGATGCAGCAGCAGCAGCAGCAGCATCACCCGAGGCCGCTGCAACCACTGAGACCGAACCCACTGAATCGCGAAAAACCGGATACGTTTGCCCTTATTGCAAGATTTCCTGTGCCAAACCTAGTGTATTGCAAAAACACATAAGGGCGCATACCAATGAGAGGCCATATCCATGCGTGCCCTGTGGTTTTGCTTTTAAAACCAAATCCAATCTTTACAAACATCGGAGATCACGGACTCATGCTTTAAAAATGGAAGGCGGTGATAGCAGCAAGGTATTTTCTTTTTTTTTTTTTTTTAATATATTATAAACATATATTTTTAATACAATTATTAACACTTTGATTTGCGTTAACAAAACCTTGAAGATAATTACATAAAAGTAGCAATAATTTATACAAAAAAAAAAAAAAAAATTGATTATAAATGGTGTTTGCAATCAAAGGTTTAAATCTTTCAAACATAATGTGTGTGTATGTGTGTTCCATTTGAAGCAGGTTTCGGAAGACTCGGACATCAGCCTGTCTGACAGTGCTAGTAACGGTACAGGAACTCCACCACCTCCACAAATAACAACAACAACAACAACGTCAACGCCCACAACAACTTCCTCCGTCGTGAAGACCGTCAAAACTGGAAAGATTTACAAACCAAAGTTTCATACCGCTTTACAATCGATAAACAATGAAGCGGAAAACAATACATCTTCGTATTCGTCAACGAACTCTTCCAGTAATTCTTCCATACCATTGACCAATAATAATAATAATAATAATAGTAATATTAATAATATTAATAATAGTAATAATAATAATAATAGTAGTGTCGTTGTGAACGTTGCAAAACAGAACGCGGATCGGTTGCAAGAACACATTGATAAAATAATAACGGACAATCGTGCTATAGTAGACGACGTTGATCCGCGTCTTCATAAATTAATGCAACGACAACAAAGTATGGTAGAAATGAAACAACAATCCGATCAACCTTTGAATCTCTCATCGGTGAACGAATCCTCAACGAGGAAACGTTGTTACAGTGAAAGTTTCGTTCAGGAAGGTATTACGGATCATCGAACTAACACACCAGCAACAACCACTACGAACGAGGCTTCCATCATCAAAGATCTTTTCTTAAAAACGCGTGATACTTGTGAGGTTGTTAGCACCTCGGAGATAGTGGAAAATTATATATGTTCGTCTTGTAACATACCTTATACGAGTATCGATAATCTCGAAACTCATCGACGATATTATTGCAAGGGACCTATCAGTCCTAGGATATCGGAATATCAATTGGATAACGATAAAAGGGAATCCGAGTTTGAGTCTAAGTCTTCCGATTATTATGCTACGTTGCAACCACTTCCTTCGCCAGGACCTTTGTTGGGCAACACAAGACTCGTCGACCCGTACGCCCCACCCGTGAAAAAATCACGCTCGGAATCGGTTCCAACTAGTTTGAGATCACTCGAGGAATTAAGCAAATATCCAAGGCCTAATTCCTTGCAAATGTTCGGGGGCGAGGTAAGGATACTTGACAATATGGGCGAGACTAAGACCATGAGAATCGAGCCGCGACAAACTAATTCACCGACGAGCGAACAGATCTCAAGCAACAAGTGCGTCACGTCGGAGACATCATCGATCGTGGTAAGATCGGGTCTTCATTCGGGTGGTACTATGGTACACAAACCACCTAGCACGCCTACTAGTAGTACACAACAGAGTTCTTCCATATCTTTACCAAACACTCCTAAATTATTGGCCCCAATCATACCAAACATATCAACCCCAAACATAGCACCGACTATGTCATGCTTCAATTATTTGGAACCGCATTTTAATCCATTGACGAGCATAACCGCATATAATCCATTGACGTTGCCACAAGCGGGTATCACGAGTATTCTACACGGTGGTAAGGTTATTCCTTATGTACCTGGTATGCCAGGACCGCATACCTTAACCGGAGCACCGCCGCAACCTCCACCACCACCACCACCACCATCCATAGATATATCTCCTGGTGTGGCAGCATCTGGTGAAGTTGGATATAAAGTCATACCAGGTGTACCCGGATTACATATGATATCTCAACCTTTGGATCTTGCCAGTCCGGTCAAGATTCAAACGCCCAACGTACCTGGAATCCCGGGACCGATATCTGGTGAACATGTCTCGATAATGGGCCAACCATTGGATCTTGCTAGTCCCGCTAAGGAGACAAAGATTAGCTTTAAAACACCTAGCAGCGATGGTCTGAGAAGCGGAAGTGGATTAACAAGTCCAAAAGTTTCTACTATTAAGGTTGATACTTCTACCGACAAGTATCGAACAAGTAGGATGTCCCTCACACCTGCTGTAACTGAGCTACTAATAACGGAACTTGATCGTCATATCAAACTCAACGTTCCTGTTAAACATAAAACCATGGAAAGCCCACGCGAGACTAGAGAATTATCCATTGAAAAAAGTCCCAATGTCGATAAGACCTACGCTTATTCTAATGGCATCGACGCACCTGTTAATTCTGCAAATTCTTATCCCAAGCCCAAATATTCACCCAAATCAACTTTGGAGAACAGAAAGAGGCCATCTACATGGAACATTGCAGAGCTGGAAATTGGTAGAACTCAGGTCGAAACCATTGAATATGGTTCGAATCTGAAATACGAATCTTCGCCATCTCGTGAAAATGGTCGTATCAAAATGAATGTTCTCGAGAGTAGAGGAGGAAAGTTAGTCGAAAGTTATAACACTGTTGATGATAACAAATTAAAAGTGGATTCTTCGATAGTTAAAATATCAGTAGCAGCAGCATCAACAGCACCACCACCAGCACCGCCAGCCACACCACAAACACCCCCAGTGATACTTGTGAATTTAGATTCATCCAAGTCAGAAGTGCCAAGTAAAACTTTCGTAGAATTAGTTTTGAAAACTGATAAGTCTGAAGCTAAATCGCCGAAAACTAACGACGGTGCTAAAGATGAGACTAGTGTTAATAAGTTTTTAAGACCAACTTCATTACCGTTAAAACCTGGAACGTTTACGCCAAAAAAACATCACGGTATTACGCCAACGGCTAATACACTTTCCCTCATTAGTCCAGAAACTCCTAGACCAAAAAAATCATATGGACAACTTTATTTAAATGGACACGCCTATACATATCTAGGTTTAAAGTGTTCAACCAGAGTATTTTATTGTACCCTTAACAGACCGCAGCCCATGTACGTTACGCAACAACACGGTCTTTCTATGTATTCCAATTGGAAAATTTGCAAAGAAGCCCCGCCAGATTTGGATTTGGCACATTATGATTCTAGAAACAGACCTCTTAATTATACCACCGCTTGTACCATGCGAGAAGATATTTTGACTCATTCTTCGCAGAGGCCTATCACACCTACGAGTCCGGATAGTGGCTTGGAAAGTGATATACAAGAAAAATCCAAAAGAATTAAAATATTCGACGGTGGTTTTGAAAGTAACGAGGATTACACATATGTTAGAGGTCGTGGTAAGTCATATATGACCTATCTTACTTTACGGGTTTACATTTGCAGGAAGAAATTGTTGATTCATTCCCGTTTCGATTCGATTAGGTCGTGGTCGATATGTCTGTGAAGAATGTGGAATTCGTTGTAAGAAGCCTTCGATGCTGAAGAAACATATCAGAACTCATACGGATGTACGACCATTCACCTGCAGGCATTGCGCCTTTAGGTAATTTCTTTTTTTCATAATCATTATTATGTATTATTCATTTTATAACATAACCCCTATTATTCCTTTTCGTTTATAATACATTTGCATATTTTTCAACAGCTTCAAAACCAAGGGCAATCTAACGAAACATATGAAATCAAAAGCACATTATAAAAAATGTGTCGAGCTTGGAATAGTTCCTGTACCAACGACAGTTTGCGACGAGAATATCGACAAAGAAGCTATCGTGCGATTGGCAGTAGGTGGAAATACCGAAGAATCAACTTCGGAGGAAGAGGAGAGTGAAGGTGAAGGAGATGAAAGTGAAGAATCTGGGAGTGAAGAACACGAAGCTGCGCAAAGTTTGCTAAGTCTGTCGCAACGTAATACTAACAGATTGCCAGGATTATTACCTTCGGGTCGACCAACAACATATCCTTATACTTTGACTTTTCCATCGAGTTCAGTTACAACGAATATCATATCAACCGTTTCCACTAGCAGCACATTATCATCTACCAACGATCATAATACGAATGATCAAGAAACTAACATCATTCAGAGTGAACATTCACATTGTTATTATTCCCCATCAGAATGGACAGCTGTTGATAGGTTAAGAATCAGTGATACAATATCATCGTCTAAAGAAGACTCGGATATCGAAGTGGAAGAGATAATCGATTCAGATTCACGTCAGCAGATATCTCAACCAATGGATCTTACTACTAAGCAAACTACTACTGCACAACAACAACAACAACAACAGCCTCCTGTACCATCACCAGTACCACCACAAAGAGCAATGCCTGCTGATATCTTAACACCGGTATCAGAACCAGTTGTATTGCAAACAATAGTGCAGACAATGGAACGATTACCTATACAAGGAAGAGAATGGAAACCTAATGCCGAAGGACGTATGCTTCAAGCATATCTTACTGAGAGACATGTTATGGATAGTAAAATCAAACAACAATATCGTGTAGGAAATTCAAAAATTGATAGAACTATGAGTGGAGATAATAATAGAGACGTTTATCCTAAATATCAAGATGCCGGTGGAAGAACTAGAAATGTGGATGAAGGTGACAACACTCCTACTGTAACATATACGGATCTTACAAAAATTCAACAAAAATTAATAGAATCTAAGATAAAACATGCAACTAAACAATCGTCGGATGATATTAAAACAGAAATTCGTGAAAAGATTTATCAAAACAGTGTAGCAATGGAAAGAAAATTATATAATTTTGAAACGATGCACAAAGATAAAGAACAACAACAACAACAACATCATACCACGAGTCGAGATATTCATGATAACAATTCAAGAAATAATATAGAATATGGTATCGTAATGAATAAAAATATCAATCCCATAGAAAGGAATAATTATTCAGTTGATATACCACCATCATCTCGTAGCACACCTGTTTTAGATCGTCATTCACCGAAAAATTTTCATTCCGATCCTAACAACAGATTTATTCCAATACAATATGGTAACAATGAAACTGAAAGAACTTCTATACTTAAAACAATGAACGTAACAAATCAAGAAGTAAGACCGGTCAATCAAGAAATGCGATTACCTTCTGATATTAGAATGCAAAGTCAAAGTCCTCGAAATTTAGAGCTTAGATCTCCTAATCGAGAAATCCGAATGCCTAATCAAGATTATCATCGTACGCAATCTCAAGAGTTACGATTATCATCCACGCAAGATTATAAATTACGTGGTCAAGACATGCAACCATTAGGAACAGAATTTAAACAAATATCAACGGATGTACGTCAAGAGATTGTTCAACCAGGAAACATGGAAACAAGACAAGTTATTACAGATAATAGATCACCTAGTAGAGACATGCGTAGTATGTCGGAATACAGATCAGAATATAGATCTCAACCGCAAGAAACAAGACGTTATTTCGAAATAATACAATCATCGTCATCGTCATCATCTACGCGCGAGTCACCTAAATTGCAGGATGTAACCAGACCACAGAATATAGATGTCAAGAATTCAGAACGTTCTGAAATCAAACATAATGCAGAAATGACGAAACAAAATATTGTTGATAGTATTAAACACACGGTAGCAAGAAAAGTGGTTGTAGGTGGTCCAGATTTTAGATCACAATCTCCAACAGTAGGAAATGCTAAACCTCAAGCTGAATTCTTACAACCATCAACTGGACCAGCACCAAATTATATAAGGTGAGAGCTTTATCATTTTCTTATAATTAATACAAATTGGAAAAGATAAAGTAATCATTATAAGAATTAATTCTATGGGATATAGTTACAGTGTTACGGAAGATGGCCGAAGTATATGTGGGATTTGTAACAAGGTGTTCACCAAACCTAGTCATTTAAGATTGCATATCAATATTCATTATTTCGAAAGACCATTTCGATGTGAGAGTTGTGCAGTCTCCTTCAGAACAAAAGGCCACTTAACGAAACACGAAAGATCAGTTTCACATCACAATAAGGTATTATTATTTAACAAATTGTTATCTAATTGTTGAAATATAAATATGTAATAATTGGGATTATATATAATAGGTCAGTATGACGTCTACTTTTGGAGCTGCCACTACTAGCAATCCTAGACCGTTCAAATGTACAGATTGCAAAATAGCCTTCAGAATACACGGTCATTTGGCTAAACATTTGCGTAGTAAAATGCATATTATGAAATTGGAATGTTTGGGTAAATTACCATTTGGTACATACGCCGAAATGGAAAGATCCGGTATCAATTTAAATGATATCGACACCACCGATTGTGACAATAGTCTTACTAGTCTTCAGGTTAGTATAAATGTTCAAATTTATGTAAAACACTACGAGGATAAATTTAACGATATCGTTAAATTGTAAATAGATTTTGGCACAAAGACTTTGCGAAAAGGATCCCAATAAAATGGGTCAATGGGATACAGAAGTGGTTCAAAATCAACAACCTATTAGTGGAAGTGAAACATCTTCCGATGAAGGTGAACCCATAACTCAACATCCAATTTATTCATTTCCCGGAACGAAAGCAACGAAAGATTGTGAAATGTCTCGATCATATCACGTGCCAATTGCTGCAACTGAAGATCCCAAATCAATGATGGATGTTCACATTGTTAATTCCCAATTTAATCAACAACAGAAACGGGAATATGGTATGAAGGAAAATACCAATCAACAATCGACAGTGGTAGTTACGTCAGAAAATAATTTACAACAATCATACAAGTGCCAAGTTTGTCCAATGTCTATGCGTAATTTAAATGAATTGCAAGTGCACTGTTGTATTGAACATAATATTGATACAGAGTCTAGTACAAATGTTCATGGGGATAATAGAACTACGAATAAATGTAAGGAAAAAGAGAATACTCAGATGAAAATGACTGTTATTGAAGAACGCGTTAGAGAAGATCACAGTCGACAAAAGATAGGAGATACATAGTGCCAAAATGATTTGCTACAATAGCAAATGTTCAATAAGAGATACTATATTTCATAAACTTTATGTGTTGGCCATTTAAAATGATGAGGAAGATATTTGTATATTCTCAATTCTGAAATATCTCTTCTATAAAACGAAAAAAAGAAAAGAAAAGAAAAGAAAATGAAAAAATAAATATGATGATGTTGTATTGTGATCAAAATATTTCTTTCAAATGTTATGGGGTCTTTAACATTGAATGAATTCTATTAATTTAATGAAACAAAGTTGCTATCTACTATATATTATGGATGTATAGTGAATACTGTTGACCAAAAGTTAACTGTTAATGATATCTAACGATTATAAATTTGAAACTATACTAAACTCGTATTAGACAAACTATGAAATGAACATTTGCAAAATTTCAACGAGTACACATAATAATTATCGTCAAATATTCAAAACAGAACTATAATGTACCCATTATATATAGTATAAAAGCAAAATATAGATAGTATACAAAAAAAGGAGTTACAAAATGAAAACTTAAGATATCTAATATCTTATATAAATATATATATGATTATATTATACATGCATATATATGTATATATATATATATATGCTTATTTCTACCATAAAACCATAACATTGTAAATGCTTGTGTATAGTCCTCATCTAACCACTTTACAATGTTTACTTGAAATCCTTGAAATACATCACCTCGAAAGAACATAATTCTGATATATTATATTATATTATATTATATTATATTATATTTATATATATACATATATATATAATAACGTTGTAGCAATATAACGTGCAATGGGACTGGTATGTGATTCTGTATTTAAAGTGCAAATGTTGTGTGCAACTATTAAGAGTATTCAGATGTTACAAGTTAAATACGAAATCTTTTGCTTAAACGCGATACATATATATATGAAACTACGACATAATACAAAGCGCACATGCGCGTTATCACACACACATGTATGATATTAGTTTTGGAATAAGTGTTGGAATATAAATAAGAGAAGATGGATGATGATACCGTTTGTATATATTTATGTATAAATATAAAAATATCATGTGTTAGTTATTATTGTAGATTTAAGTAATTGATGATAATGATAATGATAATGATAATCAGAAGAAACAGCGTTGGTTGTTTTAATTTAATATTGAAAAACTTTTTAAAAATATTATCTACACAATATATTGTGAATTTAAAATTATTGATAAAAAAGAAGAAGAAGAAGAAGAAGAAGAAAAAAAGAAGTAATTATTTGACAAATTAATAGATCATATGGTTTTCTTCGTTTTTTTTTTTTCGTTTTGTTTTGTTCTTTTCCTTACAAAGAAAATATGAAATTTTTTTTTGTAGAAACCACATAAACAGTGTTCAATTTATTATGCTTAATGTATGTTTAATTATTATTAACTGAATTTATCTGAATTTAATGATTTCTCGGTTGTTATAATTTTTCAAAATTAAATTATATTGATATCATGTTATATATGTATCTTATTTCTGATAAAAGAATAGCAAGATGATGTTAATGAAGCACTTAAAGTACACGATGTCTTTCCTAATAGCATAATCAGATTTCAAATTTACAGAATTTGCTGTATCGAAACGTGCGTTTGAGTTGAACAAAAGATAATTTCAATACAGGTTGTATGTATTTATCGCACAATTAATATACAATGATGAGAGGTCCAGTTAAAAGTGATTGTCACTTAAAAAACAAAAAAGAAAAAAGAAAAAAAAAGAAAAGAAAAAAATATATATATATATATCAATGTAACATAGTCTAACGTAGCATTTGGTGTGTCTATTTTAATTGAGCTCCAACTACAGGCCATGTATACTTTTTAAATGTGTACATGTGTGTGTGCGTGTGCGTGTGTGTGTGTGTGTCTGCCCAAAATGCCAAGCCAACGTTTCTCTTCCCTTAAGATTAAGATACAAATTGATATACAATATATCTTAAAACATGATAAATTATCTGATACAATTTAACAAAGACAAAATTTATACTTTATTAATTATACTTCATGCAAAAGAAGTATTCGTACTATCAAAGAGACATATTTGAAAGAAAAAACAAAAAAAAATCAAGTCATTTTTATGCACTTTCAAAATTTCTTCAAATCATTCAAAAAAAAAAACAAAAAAAAACAAAAAGCATTGATTAGAAAAAATGCTAAGTTTATTGTTTTACTATCTTAATGTGATGATTACACAAAATGATGAATGATGACTTTTTAAGAAAGAAAGCAAAACAAAAAAAATGGAAACAATCTTGATAATATATTTTTTAATAACTACATATTTATAGATATATTTAAAACGGGGGGGGGTGAAAGGAAAAGAAAAAGAAAAAAAGAAAAAAACTTTTCAATGTAAACATGACAATGATGGTCATTTACATATCATTACAAATCTATTATTCATTTAAGTAATATTATTATAATGAATATCCAAAAACGTTTCTCTTTCTCGTCGTCGTCGTCGTCGTCGTCGTCGTCGTCATTTTTATCTTTAAATATAGGAAAATATTTTGATATGAGAGATTTACACATTGAATTTGAATTTTACAACAAATATATATATTTTCAGTTTATTTTTCTTAAATTTCTTCTATTTTTGTTTTTTTTTTGTTTTTTTTTGTTTTTTTTTTTCTTGTAATAAATGTGCAAAAGTATTATCACATTAAAAGATAAATATGTGTATATGTTTTATAAAAAGAAAAAAAAAATATATATATATATATCATTTTTCAATTACAAATATTAAGAATAATAAATAATTTGAATTAGATTTGAACTCTTTCTCTAAAATGATATAAAATATTATTACATAAATAAATTACAGCTTTTGAGAAAAAAAAATTACACATTGAACTGGTACTTAAGATATATTTTATATTAGAGATTAGTATACGTGTGTATTGAATTATATTTTCAAAAAAAAGAAAAAAACAACAACAACAACCAAACAAAACAAAAAGATATGATAGAAAAACCCTAGGGGTAGTTTATGAATAAAATAAAAAAAAAGAAAGAAAAAAACAAAAGGCATGTAAGGAATGTGAAGTAAGGATAATATCTAATCCAATAGTAAACAAAAAGAAAATAAAAAAAAAAAAAAATGAAAAAAAAAACAAAAAAAAACAAATTATGCAAACGATAATTAAAAGAATTCATTCTTAAAAATGTTCTCTTCACGAGTTGGCTTGGCTTCTTCCAAACTCAGTATTACAACAACAAAAATCTTAAGGGAAAAAAAAAAATAAAAAAAAAAAAGAAAAAAAACGTAAAAAAGAGGGAGGACAAAAAAAAAAAATACACTAAATTTGAATTAACAACATTGTAGTACATTGTTTGTCAAATTATATTTTATAACTACAATAATTATTCGTCATAAATTATTATTGGGGCTTTTTATGTCATCTGATTTCAAGCTATAAACTTTAAACAGGAACAAAAAAATGAAAAACAAATAACAAAAAGAAAGGAAAACTCCTCTCTCTCTCTCTCTCTCTCTCCAACCCCGACCCCCCTTCCCCGTGATTATATTTTTATGAATCATTTAAATTTTACATATATATGTTGAAGGTAACACTTACAAATTGTTGGCAAAATGATATTTTATATGTAATATAAATGGATATATAAATATATATATATATATATATATATACATCTCTTTAAGATTTTATAAATATTTACCAAGAATGCATATATAACTGATGAAAAAAACGAAAAAAAAAGAAAAACTGCTATAATATGTAAGAGTGGTTTTTTTTTTTTTTTTCTATCGATGGTATGCTTTTATAATACCTTGCTATGTTGGCACAATTAGAGTTCATCATGAAGAACTTAAGATTCTTTGAACCAGAATTAATTGGAACCAAGTATGACTAATAGTCGTCGATATATCAGATAATGGGACCGTTATAAGATTTTGTAATAGCATACTAAAAGAAAGGTATAGTAGTATCACATTTTTATAGATTATTAAAGTGCCAACATTTTGATAGCGTTACAATCACTTTTTCTTCCTAATTCTATGACTCTGTTAAAACTATCAATGAAAATGTAATTTATTTATTGTAAATAAAAACATATATTGCTTAAGATTCTTTCGTATAATTATATTTTTTGTACAATGAGTTATAGATTAATTGTATTTTTATCTTAACTCCAATTGTAGTATATTATGTTAAGATAAAAATATTGTGAGATTGTTTTCCCCAATTGAAAATGGACAGTACGAAAATATCCCTAGAATTTAGTGTCAATTTAAAAAGAATATTTCAAAAAGAGATATACATAAATATAAAAATATATATATATATATGTATTTTTTTTTTTTATCTATATATGTCCTGTATATATATATATAAATGTTGCAATTAGTGCTGAAACATTCCTATCTAAAAGAAACAAAAATGAAAGATGCACAATAATATTGAAACATAAAATAAAATCAGACTAATTAGTTCGTTTCTGTTAATAAACGTGAACATTAAAATGCATATTTATAGAAGAAATCATTTGAATTAAAAAACATCTCAATCCAAATATGGTATCAACATGAATTTGTCGCTCAACCGACAAGTTTATCGACGACCAATAAAAATCGAATATCGAACCAGTTACTTGCATACAGATGGCGTCATTAGTAGTAATTATATATTATATATATATATAAAAAAACAAATGGTTGAATTCCGTTAAATTTTTTTCTGAAGTATTAAAATAAATCCAAATCTTCAACATGCAAATATATGTATACCCAAAAAATTAATTAAAATTTATTGAACATAAAATACCATACTACGTTACTCAATCGATAAAGTATTAGGCATTGTTATAACAGAAATACACGAAACATTAGAAAAAAATATTTGAATTTTTAAAAAAATATAAACGTATAGAATTTAACAAATATAATAATCGATATAATCAAATATCGATCGAATAAATAATATAATAATTATTCAAATAATGAACAAAGAAAAATAGTTCTGGTAAAAAGAAAGAACAAAGAGATTAAAGACATATTTGTAAAATAATTTGGTAACAATCTTTGGTAAAATTATTTTATGAAGAATTTTCATAATAAAAATTCGATAAAATTCTATATAATTAAAAATAATAATAAAAATCATTACCATTGAGAAGAGAAGAATTAGTGATAATTCCGAAAATTGTAATAAAATGTAGTGTGTCATGGAAGCTGGAACAATTGCGTACACCGAAATTCCCTCGGCAACAGCGACGTTGTATTACCATGTCGTCCTTCAGAGGACGCTGCTGGTTAGGCATCCGAAGGGAAGGCAAGGAGATCAACCAATCGTAGCGCTTAGCAACGAACGGCGGGATAAGACGAAATATTTCATTGGTTAAAAGATCGTCTAGCGGCTAGTGGTGGGAGAAGGGATAAACAGTTTTCAAAGTTTCGAAGTGGTTCCTTAAATCGTGTGGGGGGATCCAGAAGAGAAGAGGAAAGGGGTGTAGCGGTCCCGCGTGCGTGTATTTCCCGCTTCTTGCCTTAGCCAGGCAGCAGACAGCATCAGTAGTAGCAGTAGCAGCAATACCGCAATATCGAACGTTCGTAATATATCGGTTATGGCCTTGTAAAATATGCGAGAGGAGATATATTGTGTGTGTGTGTTGTTTGTTGGTAGTAGTGCGTAGTTAGAAAGTGAACAAATTCGATTTAATTCGGAATGACGTATCGAAGTCGTTGTTCCAAGGAAAAAAGGGATCACGATTATATTTTAATATTTTGATTCGGATGAAAATATCCGTGGGAAGAAGTGAAAATATATGTGTATATGTCTGTTCTCTCTTTTTTTTTTTTTTTCTTTCTCACGGTTAACGATCCTTCCGAAGCTTTTGTTTACAGACGCGCGCGCGAAACGGATGCTTGTGAGTAGTGTGAAGACTCGTGGCGGTGACTTTCTTGCTTTCTCTCCCGCTCTCTCTATATCTTAACTCAAGGTGTAATAGTAGTAGTCGTCAATATTGTGCGTCCTTTTTCCCGCGCTAAACACGTGATATAGAAGAAAGAAGAAAGAAGAAAGAAGAAAGAAGAAATATAACAGTGCAACGCGTAAACAAGAAGAAGAAGAAGAAGAAGAAAAAGAAGAAGTAGTCAGTTAAAAAAAAAAACAGAAAAATATATTTAATTGAAGGTTAAAAAAAAAGATCTAATAAATGTGTACGTGCCGTTTAAAAATCTACGATGGATTTGACGTTGTCTTCTTAGCGGTATACTAATGTGTAAAAGAAAGAAAAAAAGTTAGCCGCGAATATAAGGATCGACGCGACTAAAGTTTTTTGAAATATTTTTTAGTGTATAATAATAATACGTGCGTGTAAGTAAGCCGGGGGGGTATACAACGAGGACACGCGCGTCGTTCAGCGGTACATACGTAATATGGTGCTTTTATACGATTTAGAAATCGTTTCTAAGAAGAGGTAGTCCCGGTGTGAGATTTTTTATTTATTTTTTTTTATTTTTTTAAATATTAACGAAAAAGTGGAAGAAGAAGAAAAATCGGCAGAATGGAGGAAGATAACAACATGAATTTTGAGCTACCGGCTCACACGATTACCTTCGATATAAGTAATAACAACTCGCACAATTCTCATGACAGCGTTGACAGCGGTTACTTAACCTTGACACCACGCTCCAGTTTGCATACTCCAATAATTGCAGGATACAAATCACTCGTAACACCGTTAAAAAGGCATCTTCGGATACGTCAAAGTTTCTACCAATCAAATCGTGCACAACGTTATCGTTCAAAGCTCAATCAATTGCCTAATAAAAGCACGCGTAACGCGGATCCTACTGCCATTTCTTCTGAAAATGAAGACTGTGCATATAGTTCCAACCTAGGAACATCAAACTTGAGTATAACAAGCCAAAGTCACAGTTTAGAACATGCCAGTCCATGTAGCACCTCTCACAGTTTAAACTTAACTTATGAAGATTTTAATGAAGGATCAACTAGTAGTATTTATGGAGCATGGAGAACCACAATGCCTGTTACATTGGCATCAGCCAGTTTACAAATTCTATCACCACCACCTTCACCGGCAATTCCTTCCTTGGCGGTACCATCTTCTTCCTTTATTGCTTCCGAACCAATAGAAGAGGATGTGGAAATGAAACTAGTCATTATGCCACAAAGTACACCCCAGGAAACTAATTCTAATTATCAAACAATAACTCCTTGCATAGCATATTCTCCTACCGGTAGGAAAACCAACAATAATGTTACTTCGACGGAAGATCCAAAGTTGTTAAATAAACTTTGTGTCGTTGATATACCTTCCATAGCAGAGATCAAACCTAAAAGGTTGGATTTCAGTCATCGTGCATTTTCTTTGGCAAGACATCGTACAAAAGTTAAATTAGATTACACTGGAAGAAAAACCGTAGATCTTCTAGCACTATTGGGAGAAAAGAGTAATCATTGGAGGATAATTTCTAAAATTTTATCCTTTTTAGCACCGCAAGATCTCTGTTCGATAAGTATGGTCTCCAAAGTGTGGAGGAGAATCTGTAAAGAAGATTCTAGAGCCAACACTAGAAGACTAAGCCATATAATACTCAGACAAAATACTAAAGAAAATTTGAAATTAAAAAAAAAAGTCCAGATGGAGATGGATATTCAGAGCAGTCCTAGGAATAGATACGTCAGGAAAGGATGTTTGTTAGAGGTCCAGAATTTAGTTCATTCGTCACAGCAAAGACCGCCCAATAGTCCACCTGTATCACCGAGCAAAGTCAAGTTTCACTCTTTTGTTAAGGTAAGGAATCATAATTCAATTTAATACAAAAATAAGTCATGATTTAATTCTTAATCGTTCTCTTCCTTTCTACACTGAGCTAGGATAAACAACATATAAAACTACATGTATATATGTATGCAAGATAAAAAGTACTAAATATCTTATTCCAAACGTGAGAAGAAAAAAACCCTATCATCCACGTGATAAGGGTAACTTTAACGTTTCGTATTTCTTTAAAGAGAATTTAGATATCATTTCAACAACGGTCACTGATTGCAGTAGGAATGCGTTCTCTCACCAAAAAATAGAGAGAACAAAATTGTTTTCTCAGAGTATAAAAGTAGTAGTAGTAGTAGTAGTAATAGTAGTAATATAGTATTTACTTGAAACTGGTACGCGATACCGCTTACTCGCATTCGTCCTTGTTATATACCGCAACGAACTCGAGAAACTTACACATACAACTCAACACGACACAGCAACATAGTTGCGGTGGTTTCACGCTACCCGGTTTAATACGTTGTCTCACTTTAATTGAATAATAATGAACTATCATCCTCTCTCTTACTTAGTCCAAGTATATATATATGTATGTGTGTCGTTACGCACGCGATTAATCGCGAAACGGTGCTAGGTTGTATCAAAAGTATCAGAGAAAGAAAAAGAAAGATATCCGAGTTGGATTACGTCAGGCATCATCTAAACTGTAATTAAGACGCGTTGAGCTCGGTTTTACCATCTTTACTTTTCTCACACATATACAACGTACTATTCGCATTTACTCGATTATATTCATATAATAACCAGCTAAATGTACCCTATTATACACATGTTGAAAACATTGTGAAAATAATCATCGATTTTAATCATCTTTTCATACCTAATTCTCGAAATTGATCAATGAGTATTTTCTCTTTTACCAAATAGCTACCTGTTAACTACCAAATATATATATATATATATTAAATTGGTATTACTTGGTATACTTGGTATACTATTATTTGGTATATTAGTAAACATATGTTAAATATTGGTATTATTTGGTATACTAATATATATATATATATATACACACATCATTATATATTGTAGAGTAGGGTCAGATAATTATTTTGCTCGTCAATGTTTAATTTCAATGACGTTGATTTATTGCCAAAATTTTTTGTCTTATTCATTTTCTACTAAACCGATTTGAAGTATTCATGTAATACATATATATATATATATATATATATATATAGCAAGGTATTAATTATTATCTCGATTAGATATGTGGTTGTATAGTAGAGATTTTTAAACGTAACGCTGTATAATTATGTTTAAATATTTTTTACAAGGAATATATTTTTGTATTGCAAGGTGAGATTTTCTCGCAATCAAAGAGACGCGGCACTCTCTCTCTCTCATCAGTGTTCCTATACATCCATCCTTCAACCACCACCACCATCACTACCATCACTACCACCTTCTTTTCTTCTTTCTTCGCCCTTTCTCACCCCTCCCCCTGATGTTTCTCTGCTAACATCGTGTGATGCATTCCTACGCGTATGGGATTGCGATAGCGGATGCGCCGCCGCGATGTCTCAGGATCCTTTGTTCCCTTCCTCGAGGAGTTGCAATAAGAAAAGTAATGCCGCGCTTACGCTGCTGAATGCTGCGTGTACACACTCCTACGATTAATAATCGTTCCCTACAGGGCCAGAGAAAAGGAATATTTTATAAGAACGAATTATAAAAGATGTTGTGTTGTGTTGTGTTGCGTTTTGTGTAAGCCTCTTTTCAAATAGGATATCTTATTTTATTTACAAATGCGATATATTTTCTATACTATATATCTTTCTAAGAAAATAACAAGATATTTTGAAAAGTATCAAACGATAAAAAAAAAAAATATTACTATCTTCGTTAAATATATACACTGTAAAGGGGGTGAGTGATAAGGGGAAGGGAAAGGTGTAGTTTTGGTAATGTTATTTTTGTTTTTATTTGTTTGAACAAGATTTTCATATTACTATTTCGAAAAAATATAATAGAAAATTTAAATGGGGTTTGAAGAATATATATTATTGTTTTTAATATTAAGGTCAATATTTTTATGTATATTTACTATTGTGATTTAACAAATACCAATATCATAATTAATATTTGCAATAATTTGGTCAATATTATATTGATTATAATTAATATTATTAATTTTGAAATATAATATAATAAAATATACGTGGGGGTGGTTTTGAAAAGTTTTGAGAGTCTAACAGAAAAATAATATTTGAGTTTGAAAAAGTAATTGTCGTAACACTTTCGTATATTTTTGAAATAATTCTAATGAAATTTTAAATGTAATAAAAAAAAAAAAATACTGATCATTTTATTTAAAATAAAATATTCGTATAAAGGCTGACATCAAATGAAATAAAAAAGGTAGACATAAAGGGAGAGAAGAGAAAAGTATAGCGGAACCAATGGAAGGGTTGTATGAAACACACCTGGCCGTCTTGCATTAGGTATAATCGTCATTCGATAAAAAAGATAACCGGCTGTTCGTGTGTAACTACAAATATATTACTATATGTACTGTATAACACATCAAAGATCTCATTTCTATCTATCTATCTATCTATCTATCTATCTATCTATCTTAATTTTATCTTACAATTAAGTTTAATTAAGATCTCTTATGTTCTAACTAAAATACACGAATCTAATAAAATGTTCCAAAAATCAAATTTTGATTCCCTTCTGAACAAATCTAGTAATAAATCTAGTAACCAATCTAGATCTAATGAAACAATATTACAGAAGAAGAAGAAGAAGAAAAAAAAAAGAAAAGAACAAAATAAAAAAAAAAAGAAAAATAAACTCGTAAATATATAAAATACGCGAATCTTAAAATATTCAAAATCTAATTAGATTCCTTTCTAAACAAATCTAGTAAATAAATCTGGTAACCAATCGAGATCTAATAAAACAAAATTAAAGAAGATGAAAAAAGAACAAAACAGTAAAAAAAAAAAAAATTTGTCAATATATAAAATACACGAATCTTAAAATATTCAAAATCCAATCAGATTCCTTTTCAAACAAATCTAGTGACAAATCTAGTAACAAATTTACATTTAATAAAACAAAATTTTTTAGAAGAGAAGAGAAAACAAGAGAACAAAATAAAAAATAAACTCGTAAATATAAAGCAGGGCGAGAAGGGGGGGGGAGGAGGGGGTTCTTAAAAAAGAGAGATAGGATGTTCAACGAATGAAGATACGTTAGATGAGTACTTCGAAGAAGTTAGAAAAGGTGGGAGAGGGGGGAAGTAGGGAGGTAGGGAGGTAGGAAATAGTAGGAATGAGTTTGCCGTTATGCTTGCGGGGTGTCATAACATAAAAATTAGCACGTGTTAACGGGCACTAGAACACAAGTTATCCGCGAGACATAATATATTCTCTCTCACTCTCTCTCACACTCTCTCACAGTCTTTCCTTCTCTCTCTCTCTCTCTCTCTCTCTCACTCTTTCTTAAACTATATTGTGCAAGACTGGTCGATAATATATCAGAACGAATCTTCGCAGAGGGAAGGAGTTTGGTCCATTATTGAGATGGGGGATGCTGTAGAAGATGCAATATGTGAGAGAGAATAAAACAGAGAGTGTGTGTGAGAGAGAGAGAGAGAGAGATAGCTTTTGCCGGCACGCACCGCCTCAGAAAGCGAAAACCGGCCTCTCTCTCTCTCTCTCTCTCTCTCTCTCTTTCTCTCTCTCTTTCTCTCTTTTTTTTTTCTCTCCCTGTGTAGAGAACAATGCGGAATATATTATCGTATCTCGTGCATTAAAACAAAGAACGGCCGGGAGGAACGTAAAGGGTTTGTAGTGGTGGTGGTCCTTCTCCCTCCACCCTTTCCCATCCCCCTATCTCATCCTTGCCAAGTCTTCTTCTCTGTAGAGTCTTTTACGAGAGGGAGGGAGGGGGGTGGGGTCTGTTCGCATCAGGTGCGGTACATAAAGCCCCGAAATCTTCGGTCAGCAACAAAATAACGCCCGAAAGAGTCTTCGGGCGTGGGGAGGAGGAGAGAATGGGAGGGGGTGGGGATGGGTGAACGTTTAAAGTATCCTTTCTTGCTAAGGTTTAACGTTTGTAAATCATGCGGAGTGGGTTGCTCTTACGAACCCTTTGGACAATAAGGAACGAATGTAAGTGATTGTAGGGGAAGTCAAAAGAAGAAGATATATATATATATATATAGTATAGGAAACATATTCGAAGATTAAAGAATTTTATTTGTATTTTTTTTTTCTTTGGAAATTTAATTTTTAATTTGTTTTTTATTTTTTTTGGACACACGGTGTTTATATATATATATATATATA